TCAATTTTGAACTTAAGAATAAAAAATAAACAAAAAACAAAAAAAAAAAAATACTATAAGCGAAAGATTAAAATTAGAATTAGCTCATATTATTACGAGAATATTCCTGACTATGAATGTTCATCATGTAATGATAATTCAATTGTTGAGCATATAATATATAGAATGTAAGTGCATAGTTTGATCATCAATTTTAATTTTTAGTTGAGACAAATCACATGATCTAATTTGGTATTAAAGACAAATCTATATACATCATTCGATTTCAATTTTAAGTGATTGGATTGCCTATAAATTTTCCTAAATTATATGTTTCTTTAATTAAAATCCAAAGGACAATAGTTAATTCATATAAATTATGAGTTCTACTACGTGTACTTTCAAATCTTACTCTCTGATGTGGCGGGCGCTGATAGGTTATTTTCTTCATGTGGGTCCCTGTAAACGTGTCTCATGTAATATATACGGGCGATATCGACTACGAGAGCATGAGATAGTCTTAGGATCGGTTCCGCTTGCGGACCCTTTGTCTAGCATGTTTGTTGGTTTAAATTGTAGAAATAGCCAAAAGTCGACATCCTCGCAATAAATGCGATATTTATAGGAGAGATGAGGAACATGTACCAGACTCTCAGCATGCACAACATGTCGAGTCCACGCACAGGAGCAGACCAGGGCCCAAAGGGGCTCAACTACGTGGAGAAAGGTTCCTGATTCACTAGGCGCTTTGCCCCACACTCAGCCAAGAGAACCAGGTCGGCAAGCCGGTCCCGACCTTGGTTAAGTCGGGGCGGAAGTGACTATTATTGCTCTTAAGTCCAATCGTCTGACCCTTTGCTCGGCTGGAGCTAAGGTTGGAAAAATATTTGCAATTGGTTGGCGATGGTCGGGTCGGGTTCCTCCCCAGGAGTGGGTCCGGATTTGACCAAAATTTGATGTGTAGGTGGATAGGAAATAATCCCCATAAGTATTTACATCAAAATTTTAAGTATGAGAATAAAAATTAGGAGTAGAGAATGGAAGTACATATGGTATTTTCCATAAATTATATGTATCGTAGCAAGTCTTCGATTAAGACACTTAGTAAATTAAAAGGACATCAGTCATATCTATTGTCCGCTACGTATTTCGATTTTGTTCCATGTAAATTAAATTAATTGTAATTATTTATATATATATTAAAAAAAAGTTGTTCAACTACCCACCACCATGTTGATTTTAACCGATCAACCACTCAATGTATTAAAATCGATCACTAAGTAATATTTACTCCTAACTTGTCATTATGACATTGAGTCTTTTTGTATATATCATTATCTTATATTCTTATTGTCAATCCATCTCTTACTTGCATATGGAAATTAGCTTCGCAATAGGTCAGTAGTTTTATACACTTTATTATATAAATTCTTTATTAACACGTAGAAAAATTGAGCGGCTACTAATCAATTACAACTAATAAAAATAATTAAAGATTCTATATTTTATAAAGAATACAATAATGTTAGTATTATTAGGACTCCATCTATGGATTTGAGTCTACCCCATCCCAGTCTCCATCTGTCTCCTCTTATATATATACTTAGGCCCTGTACTCGTTTACAACCAATTCTCTGGTATCAACTAGCTAGAGTTTTTATTCAATAACCAATGTATATGTCAATTCCTCTGAATGAACCGTTTCTAATGCCCCTCCCTCATTGGTTGTTTCAACCGTTAACCGTAACCATACTCTCCATAGCTCATCACTTCATCAGTGTCAAATTGACTTATCGAAACTTCTTATTTTGGAGGGCTCAAGTTGTTCATTTTCTCAACGGACATGATCTAATCAGGGATAAAAGTAAGAGATCAGAATAATAGAAAATAAGAGTTTATGTAGTGGAATTTATGAATTTTCATTTTCAAAAAGTAATATAATATTACATGTACTTTTACCATTTTTTTAACAGGTGTGACATACTTTGATTGATCCAGAAGAAGTTGTGAGCTACAATTTTATTCTTTATGTTTTTTACCCAATAAAATTCGAACATATGATGAGAATTATAGTCCATAAAAGTATACCTATCAGTTTCTATTTTCGAAACAAATTAAATGCGGTACTTTTAATTAAGTTTTACTACTTGTTTACTCTCAATTTCTACTCCATTATTTTTACTTCCTTACATGATACACTATGATAAAATATTTTCATCATTTTGGTTTACATCAAAAGTATGAGTGTGGGAGTAAAAGTTGAGGGTAGAGTTTGAGAGTTGATGGGTAAATACACACAAGGACTACCCATAGGGATCACCCGGTCGGTTAGCCTAGGGTCACTCGGTTGGTCTACGACGTGACCCACTTTACAAGTTGGAAGGTTTAACTTACACTACAATTAAAGAACCCACTTGTGCTTGTAGAGAGGCGGCTAACAGTTTGCAGGAATGACGACTTTGTTATTTCGAACAATTAACTTACACGTAGTAGCAGGACGACCGCTTGACCGAGCCAACGAGAGCACGCCAAATCAAGCCACTTGTGACAGAGCATTAAATGCTTATCTGACTTGTTTATTATAAATAGGAGGGTCCTTCCCTCACTTGTCATATTCATTGCTCTGTAATATCACACCACTTGTGATACACTTTACATTGTAACGAAAGTCACTTGTAATCACCTTTTACTTGTAATACAACATAACCTTAGTTCATTCGGTCATCACCCCGGTAGACCGACCGGCCAATTGATTGACTGAATGCCCTTCTACTTGTTCACAACATACGTATTCGTAACATCCGGTCTAATTTATGCTATCAGGAATACATGTAACATTTTTCCTTTTACATATTACATACTACACAAGTGTTAAAAGATATGATGTACTTTAACTCAAGGTTAAGTTTATCATTGCAATACTTTCTTATTTTGAGCCATTTGGTTACAAGAATGAGATTATTGGGGAAAAGAATTGAATTAAATTATTGGAGAAAATAATTGTAATTCTGTGGAAAATGAATAAGGTGTGAATAAAGTATAAATTTAAATTTCATTGTTTGATAGTTATGATTAGAATTATTAGGAATTTTAATTAATAGTGTTTGATATAATTATAAAGACCAAAATACCTATGTAATGCAATTCCTAAGAAAAGATGTAGGATTATTATTGAAGTAGCCGCAGGGACCAGGCCGATCTACATCGGCCTTTCTAGATGGATTAATTGGATTGGGTGGTGGAAAGAATCAACTTACATTTAATATATAAAGACCGGATTGGGATTGAATAGAGGGAGAGAAAGAGAATGGATTTCCAGAGCTGTGTAGTAGCTGTAGTGTTTGCCTGGACTTTGGTCCAAGGCCTGTGTTTACTAGCAAAAAGAAGTAGTAGTAAGAGTGTAGGCAAAAGGCTTCCACCAGGGCCAGTTCCATTGCCGGTCATCGGAAACCTTAACTTATTGGGAAAGCAACCCCACAAATCCCTAGCCCGGTTAGCCCAAAAATATGGTCCTGTTATGAATCTAAAACTGGGCATGATAAACACAGTGGTCATTTCCTCATCCGCCATGGCCAAACAAGCTCTGCAGAAGCAAGACTTAGCCTTCTCTACCCACCGCTCAATCCCTGATGCTCTGCAAGCCAAAAACCATTCCCAATTCTCTGTTATTTTTCTCCCTGTTGCCTCCAAGTGGAGAGCCCTTCGTAAGATCATGAATTCCAACATCTTTTCCGGCAACAGGCTCGACACCAACCAGCAGCTGAGGGCAAAAAAGATCCAGGAGCTTATAATCTACTGCCAAAAGAGCAGTGAGGTAGGGGAAGCGGTGGATATTGGGCGTGCAGCTTTCAGGACTACCCTCAATTTGCTGTCCAACACCATTTTCTCTAAAGATTTAACCGACCCTTATTCGGATTCCGGTAAAGAGTTCAAAGATTTGGTGTGGAATATAATGGTGGAAGCTGGAAAGCCCAACCTGGTTGACTACTTTCCCTTTCTTGGAAAGTTTGATCCCCAGGGTATCCGGCTTCGCATGACAGGCCATTTCACTAAGGCTCTCGACCTTTTCCAAGATTTGATTGATGAAAGGCTGGAGGAGAGGAAAATGAATGGCAACAAAAATGATGATGCATTAGATTCACTTCTCAATGTCAGCAAAGAAAGGCCTGAGGAGATTGATAGGACTCACATTCAGCACATGGTCTTGGTATGTTAATGTTAGCCCCCTTCAATTCACATTATTGGTTATTTTATCTGCTATATTGAACCTTACCGGCACTGTCGCAACTCATACATGTTAATAGGATTTATTTGCTGCCGGGACTGATACATCATCAAGCACATTAGAGTGGGCAATGGCCGAACTTCTTAAGAACCCTGAGACCATGTTGAAAGCACAAGTGGAGCTTGCAGATGTTATTGGTAAAGGCAAGCCAATACAGGAAGCTGATGTTACTCGTCTGCCTTACTTGCAATGCATCCTGAAAGAAACCTTTAGAATGCACCCACCTGTTCCATTCTTGATTCCGCGTAAAGTTGAACACGAAGTCAACCTATGTGGATACACTATTCCAAAGGACTCGCAGATTCTAGTTAATGTGTGGGCAATTGGACGTGACCCCAACATTTGGGAGATACCATTAGTTTTCAAACCTGAGAGGTTTCAAAATTTAGAAATGGACATTAGGGGGCAAGATTTTGAGCTTATTCCATTTGGCGGAGGCAGAAGAATTTGTCCCGGATTGCCACTGGCAACAAAAACAGTCCCTGTAATGTTGGGGTCGTTGTTGAACTCATTCCATTGGAAGCTTGAGGGAAACATTGCACCCAAAGATTTGGACATGAAGGAGAAGTTTGGCATTGCAATCGCTAAAGATTGTCCTCTTAAGGCCATCCCTATTCCCATTTAACATAGTGCAACTCTAGTTTGTTTTACGTTCTGCAGCATGCAGTGTCAATAAAATATATATGTATTGCTCTATTTTAGCTTAGAATATATATATATATATATATATATATATATATATATATATATAGTCAGATGCTGTATGATGTATATATATTGATATGATTTAGCATATATTGTCACCCAACTTGGTAGTGAAATAACTACAATCTTGCTTGTGAAGTTCTATGATTGTAGCATCTCATGTTATTCAAATGGGACCGACCCTTTCAATCAATTGTTATATTGTAGATTTGTAGACCAAAGTTCACTTACATAGTGAATTATGTCCGATTAACTTATTATATATTTTTACTTAACAAATTATATACATGTTATATATTACGAGGCCGGACTGATACATCATCAAGCACATGTTCTCCCAGCTCACCATTGTTTATTACTCAATAGTCAATACATTTAGACTGTATTGCAACACTAGTTCCAACAGACCAACACACAAGACCAGAAGAATAATCTGTAGAAATAAAAACGAGTAGAAAGAAGCAATTTGAGACATCGAAAAAAATACTCCAAATCTATGAGACACACATCTTAAATGATAGTTTAATTCACTAAAGTTTTGCCAAAAATACAGGCAAACCAGGAAGGGATGTGGCAAATTTTGCAAGCCACTCAAATCTTTACAACATATGTGAATCCGTGAGTTAATATGTCCACAAGTTTCACCGGTGCAGGGATAACGTAGGACCGATATGATCTTGTCATCCATTTTTTTTAGAACTAATTCAATCCGGTATAGACAAGCTGATTGAGTCCGACCTCAAACTGCATGCTTTTCGACAATGGAAAACTGATCTGAAGTGATATTGTACCTCAATATTCTATGAGCTGCCTGCATATGGATGTTAGTAGGACAATCAAGAAACTGAGAGAGTTGTTGAGTGGCATAACTGATGTCTGGCCTTGTTATAGTGAGGTATAGAAGCTTCCCTATAAGCTTTCTGTATTGAGTGACATCCTCTAACTTTTCACCAATATTTTTGCTTAGCTTGACTGAGGTAAGGATGGGAGTCTTTGCTGGTTTGCTAAGGAGGAAACCTGTTTCCTCAAGAAGTTCCAATGCATATTTTCTTTGAGACATAGAGATCCCAGCATTACTCCTTGCAATTTCCAGTCCTAGGAAAAACTTTAGAGGCCCCAGATCCTTTATATGAAACACATCATCTAAGTGCTTCTTTATCTGTTGGATTTGGTTTAAATCTGGGCTTGCCAACACCACATCATCAACATATATTAGTAGAGCCACAAATTTCCCTTCTTTTCCTCTGATGAAGAGAGATGGATCAGAGGCTGCCTGTTTAAATCCCATATGCAGTAACTCCTTGGTTAGTTTGATATTCCACTGCCTGCTTGCCTGCTTTAAACCATATAGAGACTTGATTAACTTGCATACATGCCCTGGTTTGAGAGGTGTAAAACCAGGTGGGAGCTTCATGTAGACATCCTCCTTTAAATCACCATGTAGAAAGGCATTATTTACATCAAGTTGGTGAAGAGCCCAACCTTTTATAGCTGAGACAGCCAACAGCATTCTGATAGTTGTAATCTTAGCCACAGGACTAAAGGTATCTAAGTAGTCTAAACCAGGAGTTTGAGTAAACCCTTTGGCAACCAACCTTGCCTTGTACCTTTCTATGGTCCCATCAGCCTTTAGCTTGGTTTTGTATACCCATTTACATCCTATGGGCTCTTTATTAGGAGGAAGATCAGTGACTATCCAAGTGTCATTGGCCTGCAGTGCATTGATCTCTTGTTCCATAGCTTTCTTCCAGCAATCTTGTTTGATAGCTTCATTATAGTTCTTAGGCTCTTTGACAAGCATGGTGTTAACAGAGAACACCTTGAACTCTTGTGGCAAACCATCATAAGATAATACCTTGGAGATGTGGTGTGGGGAAGTTTGCTTAGTGGCTACATTATGACATGCAAAGTCACTCAGGTAAGCAGGTGTGGTCTTTGGTCTGTTTGACCTTCTGAGTTGAGGCAGCTGTGTCACTTCTGTAGGGGGCTCACTGTTCTGGCTTGATTCTGGTGGCTGAGGCTGAGGCTGATCAGTCACTAGACCAGGAGTGACAGGTGCAATATCATCACTGCCTGAACAAGCCAATTCCTCAGAAGGCAGGACCAACTCTCTAGACTGATTATCTTGAAAATTCTGAAATGGGAATACATCTTCATAGAAGTGCACATCTCTAGACAGGAACACTTCTCTAGATTGTAGATCAAGGAGCTTGTACCCCTTAACTCCATTTGCAAAGCCTAAAAAGGCACATTTCCTAGCTCTTGGTGATAATTTGTTCCTTTGACAGCTAGGGATGACAGCAAAGGCAAGACAACCAAGAACTCTCAAATGTTGGTACTGTGGCATCTTACTAAATAGAATCTGATAGGGAATTCTATTATCCAGGGCAGCTGAGGGAAGTCTATTGATTAGATATACAGCATGGAGGATGCAATCACCCCAGAGATCTTCAGGCAGATTAGCTTGGAATTTTAGGGACCTTGCCACAGCCAAGATGTGACCATGCTTCCTCTCAACTACACTATTCTGCTGAGGGGTATACACACAAGATGTTTGGTGTAAGATACCCTTGCTTTGATAGAACTCTTCTAAGCTGAACTCTTTCCCATTATCAGACCTGATGCATTTGATATTACCCCCAAATTGTGTTTTGATTTGTTCACAGAAACCCTGCATGATTTGCTTGACCTCACTCTTCTTCCTCATTAAATAGACCCAAGTAGCCCTACTATAGTCATCAACAAGGGTTAAGAAGTATTGGTGACCATAGATGGTAGCAGTTTGATATGGGCCCCATATGTCCACATGAACAAGATCAAAACAATTTGTTGAATTAGAAAGACTAGGCTTAAATGGCAGCCTTTTTTGCTTTGCAAAATGACAATAGTCACAAACACTTGGTTTGTCATTACAAATCTTGTTGTCTAGGGCATGCAACAATCTAATTTTGCCCTCAGAGGGATGTCCTAACCTAGCATGCCAAGAAATACAGACATTGACAGTAGGTTTACATTGCAAATTGCAGACAGGAAGAGTAGAGTGAACAAGCTGGTAAAGTCCTCTCCTCAATTCAGCCATACCAATCATCTTCCCAAGGTGTTGATCCTGTATGACACACTGATTAGCATGGAAAATAATCTGACATTGTGCCTTTCTTGTGAGTTCACCCAGTGATATTAAATTATACTGAAAGATAGGCACACACAGCACATCTAAGAGAACCATTTCAGCAGTGAACTGAACAGTCCCAATGTGGGAAACTTGAGCTTGACTTCCATTAGGTAGATCCACAAAGATACCTTTAACTTTCTTGGGATTATGCAGTAAGTTTATATTGCAAACAATATGATGTGTGGCACCACTGTCCAAGATCCATAGGGATTGAGGACTTGCCAGATTACTATTAGAATCAACAGAATTACCTTCAATTATGGTATCTGGGATGAAATTTGCTGCAATTGCATTAGCTTGAGGAACAACAGCAAGGGGTGAGCTACTTGCTCTTTCATGGTGCATAAACTCCATGAATCTTCTGAAATCTTCTTGATTAATAGATGGAACAGCTTATGTGACAACACCTTCTTGTGCACTTGTCTGAAGTTGATTGGCAGCCCCTACAACTTTGCTTCTTGGCTTCCAACCAGGTGGGTATCCATGCTTTTTGTAGCATTTGTCCACAGTATGGCCAGTATACCCACAATAGCTACATATTGGTTTCTGTTTCTGACCAGAGAATGTCCTCCTGTTATCATTCTTGGTAAAGAATACACTTGCCTCTGTCAGACTTTCTCCAAAGCTACTTGATTCACCAATCACCTGTCTCTCTTGCTGGGAAACCATGGAGAAGGCTTCCCCAACATCAGGTAAAGGTTTCATCAACATTATTTGTCGTTTGGTGTTTGTGAAATTCTCATTCAGACCCATGAGAAAGGTTGCCAACATATCACTCTCAAGATTTTCTCTGATTTTCTCAGACAATTTCCTTCCACATTCACAGCTAGGTGAGCATTCACAAGAGGGAATAGGTCTTAAAATAAACAGTTCATCCCATAGAAGCTTCAGATGAGTAAAATAGTCATTGACAATCAGAGTACCTTGCTTTACTTGATGAATCTCTGACTGAATCTCTGCAACTCGGAATACATCTTGCTGGCTGAACCTCTTCTTCAGGTCCTTCCAGACTCCTTCAGCTGTGTTGATCAATAGCACGCTTCTTCCAATGGTAGGTGACACGGCTCTGAGAATCTAGGAGAGTACCATAGTGTTACATTGATCCCAGTAGAAGAACTTGGGATCTGCTTTGCTTGGGATTGGCATTGTGCCATCTACAAACACCAATTTGTTTTTCGATCTCAGGGCCATCTCTACTGCTCGTGCCCACGAATGGTAATTAGCTCTTCCTTCTAACTGTGCAGTCACCAGCTGCAACGAAGGGCTCTCGCTTGGATGCAGATGGAGAGGATCAATTCGATCCTTAGGATCATAGGCAGCCATGGGGTTTGGGGTGGGAATCTGATTTAGATTTGAGGAGCTGGGGTTTGTGGCCATTGTAGGACGAGTTGTGTTTAGTGAGGGTGTCCTCCAAGCCATCAAGGCTTTGATACCATGTTGAGAGTGAAGCAGAAAAGAAAGACTTTTTGTATTCAAAATCCAATCAAAAAAAAGTTCTCAGGCAGCTTGGCCTTCTATATATACACAAGCAGTACAGAAGCAGATGATAACAGAAAAGAGGAGGGAAAGGTGGTTAAGGAAAACTGCCTCCTAACTAACTTAACAGAAAGATATGGCAGCTTTGGCTTTCCTTTGCTGGTTTGATTCCACATGTGCTAACAGATATTGTGTTTTGTCTTAACTCTATTTTTTCACCCAGGGCGTATGGGTATCGCTATATATGTGAGATTTAAAAGTTCTCAATTAAAGTTTTTAATGACATATACTTTATATCAATGTTGTAAAAATCAGCATAGGCGTCCGCCTAGGCGCCCTAGGCCGATACGATTTCAGCCTTAGGTGGCTTTTAATTAGTTGGTTGGCCGGCTAACTAGCTGATTAGGCGCCGAGTAGGGACAATGTAGTGAATATAATTAATTGATGAAATTGAATACAAAGATTTTTTATATTGGAGAAAAATAAAGACAATATAACTAATGAAATTATTTCTCTTATTTAATTTATTGATAATGAATACTTTTTTTTTGAATAAAGACATTGTAGACACATAATTCTAAATTAAAGAAATGCATATTTATTATTTTTTGTTGTAGCTACTAAATTATTATTTATTTTAATAAGTGTAAAATATAATACTAATTATGCAAACTTAACAGTGTGAACTAACAGAAATTAACGGAAAAGATAATATTTAACGAAAAATTTAGCAAATAATCATATAATTAAGGATAAATTAGGAAATCTCAAAGAAAAATTAAAATCTGATCAAAGTCATTCATTTGATTAAAAAATTTGACCGTCATTTTTCTAACCATTATAGGCCTAGCTCTCTTGGGCTCTTATTAGTATATATATATATATATATATATATATATATATATATATATATATATATATATATATATATATATATATATATATATATATATATATATATATATACACACTAGTTTTTTACGCGCATTGCGTGATTGGGATAATGCCCAATGTTTTTTTTTTTAAATAAGTACTTTAAAGTATATTAAGGCAAGATTATATTGAAATTGTTCATGCATAGATAATTGAAGGTTGAATTTGCGTATTTAAATAGGTAATTCTTCTCCCAAAGGTTGAGTCCCCTACCCCAAGGGCCCCCCACACTTTGACCCGACAGAGCATTGTAGGAAGTTGTAAATCACGGTGACTCAATGGTTCAGCAAACAGGACCAAATGTCGGTGCGAACAAGGAATCTGTCCACTTTGGACATAATTCCCGCACTGCCGCCGCTGAGGTTCAAACCTTGGTCTCTTCTCCCAAATACTGTCCACTAAACCATTGAGCTAAGCCCGTGCGGGTTAAATAGGTAATTCTAAGTTTACAAATGCAAGATAATATAGTCAAGATTGATTATAATTGTCAATAAAATAATTGTATAGGTATGGTTGAAACCAAATACGGGACATAAGGGAGAACAAATAAAAATTAGGGCATAAAATATTAAATATATACTAATATTGTTTGAGGAGATTTCGACATTAGGATTTGTGGTTAAGTTCTATTAAGACTTTAATATTAGAATTAGATTAATGGTGTAATTATAATTCTATATTAGACGTTAATATTATAATTAGACTAACGGTGAATTAACGGTATTTAACGAAAAAGTTAAATGGATAATCATATAATTAAGGATAAATTAGAAAAATTTAAAAAAAAATTAAAACCTGAACAATTTGAACCATTCATTTGATTTAATAATTTGGCGGTCATTTTTTCTACCCAATGTTAATAATTAAATAAATTCGTTGGTCAAATCCGCTAATATAATCCGCGCGCTAACTGCTGATTGTCAAACAAGGACATTGCAAGGTAGTTCTCACTTCAATTTGTTGTGTGATTTGAATACTCTTTTTGTCACAAAATCTCTCAAGTAGTTAATATGGTTGGCTTTATTAATTATATATTTTTTTTAATTTTTTCATGGTATTAATAAAATACTTGGTAAATAAATATATAGCATTATTTTGTATTATAACTTTTATATTTATTTAGAAAAATAGTGCAAAAAAAAGATAATAGACAATGTAGTGAATATAATCAATTGATGAATTTGAATGTAAAAATTTTTACATTTGAGAAAAATAAAGACAATATAACTAATGAAAATATTACTCTTAATTAATTTATTGATAATGAATAATTTTTTTTCACTGAATTAAGACATTGTAAGGACAATGTAGCGAATATAATCAATTAATAAATTTGAATATAAAGAATTTTTATATTGTAGAAAAATAAAGACAATATAACTAATACAATTATTTCTCTTATTTAATTTATTGATAATGAATATTTTTTTTTGAATAATGGCATTGTGGACACATAATTCTAAATTAAAGAAATGCATATCTATAATTTTTTGTTGTAGCTACTAAATTATCATTTAAATTATTTTATAATTTATTTAGTATAGTAGATATAAATGATAATTTAGTAGCTACAACAAAAAATTATAGATATGCATTTCTTTAATTTAGAATTATGTGTCCACAATGCCTTTATTCAAAAAAAAAATATTCATTATCAATAAATTAAATAAGAGAAATAATTGTATTAGTTATATTGTCTTTATTTTTCTACAATATAAAAATTCTTTATATTCAAATTTATTAATTGATTATATTCGCTACATTGTCCTTACAATGTCTTAATTCAGTGAAAAAAATTATTCATTATCAATAAATTAATTAAGAGTAATATTTTCATTAGTTATATTGTCTTTATTTTTCTCAAATGTAAATATTTTTACATTCAAATTCATCAATTGATTATATTCACTATATTGTCTATTATCTTTTTTGTGCACTATTTTTCTAATCAAATATCAAAGTTATAATACAAAATAATGCTATAGATTTATTTACCAAGTATTTTATTAATGCCATGAAAAAAATTAAAAAAATATATAATTAATAAAGCCAACTATATTAACTACTTGAGAGATTTCGTGACAAAGAGAGTATTCAAATCACACAACAAATTGAAGTGAGAACTACCTTGCAATGTCCTTGTTTGACAATCAGCAGTTAGCGCGCGGATTATATTAGCGGATTTGACCAACGAATTTATTTAATTATTAACATTGGGTAGAAAAAATGACCGCCAAATTATTAAATCAAATGAATGGTTCAAATTGTTCAGGTTTTGATTTTTTTAAAAGTTTTTCTAATTTATCCTTAATAATATGATTATCCATTTAACTTTTCCGTTAGATACCGTTAATTCACCGTTAGTCTAATTCTAATATTAACGTCTAATATAGAATTATAATTACACCATTAATCTAATTCTAATATTAAAGTCTTAATAGAAATTAACCACAAATCCTAATGTCGAAATCTCCTCAAACAATATTAGTATATATTTAATATTTTATGCCCTAATTTTTATTTGTTCTCCCTTATGTCCCGTATTTGGTTTCAACCATACCTATACAATTATTTTATTGACAATTATAATCAATCTTGACTATATTATCTTGCATTTGTAAACTTAGAATTACCTATTTAACTCGCCCGGGCTTAGCTCAATGGTTTAGTGGGCAATATTTGGGAGAAGAGACCAATGTTCGATCCTCGGCGGCGGCAGTGCGAGAATTATGTCCAAAGTGGGCAGATTCCTTGTTCGCACCGGCATTTGGTCCTGTCTGCTGAACCATTGAGTCACCGTGATTTACAACTTCCTACAATGCTCTGTCGGGTCGGAGTGTGGGGGGCCCATGGGGTTGGGGACTCAACCTTTGGGAGAAGAATTACCTATTTAAATAATAAATACGCAAATTCAACCTTCAATTATCTATGCATGAACAATTTTAATATAATCTTGCCTTAATATACTTTAAAGTACTTATTTAAAAAAAAAAACATTGGGCATTATCCCAATCGTGCAATGCGCGTAAAAAACTAGTAATTTAATAAGAGTAAAATAGAGTACTAATTATGCCAACTTTAATTTGACTGGGATGAGATTCGAACCTAAGACCTTTTTTTTTTTTTTTTTTTTTTTTTTTTTTTTTTATTGAAATCAATGAGTAAGTTAACGATGAACTAACGGCAATTCTTAA